CAGCGATTTGTGCATTTAAGGTTTTGGAGAAAATATGAACAAAAGATGAGAAGGTTGTAAGGAATTATTAAAGTTGGTAAGAAATGTTCCGGTCCATTAAGTCGTATACATTTCTTACCGTCGCCACAGTTGTGTTTTGATGATAAGTATTATAGAAATTTTAGAGATATAAACAATGAATATCCCTAGCCAGGAGACTGGAAGAGGACGGGAGCCTGAAATCGTCTATACATTAAAATATGCAGTTTGTTTGGCGTTTCTGGCCCACCGCGGAGAGGAAAACAGTCGAATTTTGATAATTAATGAAAACACAGTGGAAGTGCCATTTAGACTGGTATTGACATATGCTAGATTATCGCTGTCCCACTACGAAACTCAAATGAGGCAGCTTTCGGCAGTTTTTTTTTTATCGGTAGGTTGATTGCTATTGGCATATGCTACCGCTCGAGCTACTTCTGAGAGCTTCCTACTTTCAGAGAGCGAAAGAGAGAGAGAGAAAGAGAAAGAAAGAAAGAGAATGAACTGCGCGAAAGTTTCAATTTGCTTTTATAGTGCACACTTTTACACAAATTTCTGCGGGTATGATTCATTGGAACTATTCTGTTAATTTATTGTAGTTCATCGAGCAATGTACAGATCGATTCAAACTGATCCTGCTGGTGTAACTTATTTTTAGTGCTATGTGGTTTACAACAAAATTAGTATTACCACCCCAAATTGTCTATTAAATGCCGTGATAGTACTGAGATTTCTTGGTGAAAATCGACTTCCACTAAGTTTGCTTCAGCTTCGATACACCAAGAACTAATTCTTTTTTCAATATTACAGTCCGAAGGGGGGCGTCCCTCTTCTGGAAAATTGTATCTCGTCGCAAGAAGCACGGTGAAAATTGCCAGAAAGAATGCTTATGGTGAAGAGTTTGGTTGCAATGGCAACTGAAAAACTGCTGCTGAAAACATCGGGACATCAATTTTTGGACGGTGTTGAATATATGTATCGGGTTGGCCTGTCACCTGATCGACTTTACATTATGGAAACGGCTAGTGGAAAATTCATCCTGCAATTTCATTCACGATGTGATATACGGCCGTTTGCTGTAAGCATATTCTTTTTTTTTCTTAATTTTTTCATGCCACATATATGTATTTTCATTTTTTCCATGCCTTATATACATATTTGCGGCATGAAAAAAATGAGGAAAACGACCTAACACTTAACAAATTTCTATAACACTTCGAAACGAATAAACGAATCGTTGAGAGGAAAAAGGGGGTT